ACCTCCAGTTTCCCCTGGAGACAGATGCTTCTTCCTACTCACCTTTAAGATTTTTAGCATGTGTCAAAAACCTGCAGGCCAGTTCCAGATATCTCTGTCATTCTCTGCAGTAAGTTGACTAAAATAAAATAAAATGCCATGGGCACAATAGATTTTTATTCATTTGCCATATGAGTGTGGGCAATCTGTGACCAGCAGGCTGCACACAGCATTTGTAAGAGGTCCAGAATGGACTTTGGAACCCCACTAATCCCAACCCCATTTTTGCTGAATAATATCAGAAGCATCTTCTCAGTTGAGGTGGGCCAAAGTACAGACTGCGGGTTACATGTTGCTCCTGAAGCAAAGTCTCCCAAATCCCCCCTCCATCTTTGCCTGAAATCTATACAGAAAATGTCTAAGCACATGAAAACAAATGGAAAAAATTCCTTCCCGTGCATATAATTCCACCGTTGCCCCCATACATATTTTTCTGTGTAGTCCATCTCAAAATAACAACAGGAAGAGACATGATGTTACTTTCAATTGCCATTTTAGGAGTGACTAGGGAGTAGGCTATGGAAGGGGATCAGCTCTGCCCCCATGAAATTGTCACCCATTCTAAATTCAAGAACAATCTAATTGGTTAGATTCCCGACAACATTATCTAACAAACAGTATTAAACTTGTGCAGGAGTGACCATTGTCACTTCCAATCACTCAAAATTGTAGGTGTGATTCGATGCTGAAGTCCTCCAATGCTGGTAGAGCCAAAATCTGCTTGTGCTAGGCTCCAGAGCATGCCCACCCATGTTTGAAACATTCAGTACTGAGGTAGAAGAGAACTTAGTCTGCCTTCTGACTACTTCATCACACTAGAGAATGAATCCAGTTAAAATCCAGTAGCTGCCTCCTGTAGAAATCTGTGGTTTGTTGTTTATGGAGGAGCCTTTAACAGCCTCACTAAACTACAAACCCTGGAATTTGTCAGGAGACAGAAACCAGATTTAAAGTGGATTCATTCTCTAGTGTGATTAGGTGGTTATATATATAGACATTTCCCAAAAGTACTGTACTGTGTAAAATAGGTTTTCATCAGGAATGCTTAGCTTAGATGGAGTGGGAGCTAGGTAAAGGTAGCTGCAGAGCAGCTATATCTTACTGTAGGATGCTCTGTTGGTCAGAAGATGGCCTTAGAACTTGATGGAAATAATAGAAATTATTGATGACTAGTAATGCTTATGACTGCAGGAAGAGTGAGAAGGGAACAATCAGCCAGTTAGCTTGTAACATGTATGTAAAAGTTTTTCCTACTTGAAGGCCATTATTATACTTGACCTTTGGCATTATGGCTATTAGTTAGATCTAGCAGTAGCCATTCCTCCTTCAGATATAGCCAACTTTTGGTAGCATCCAAAGCCTTCAGATAATCCAGACATTTGAATGTGTTGGGCCCCTGTGGTAGGCTGCATAACTACATCACTTATAGATATGCTTAACCCTTCCAGGCTGAATGCACTAAATTTTAACACCAGTCATCTTTTAAGGGAATCAATGTGTTATAGAACATCATCTATCTATCTATCGATCCATCCATCCATCCATCCATCCATCCATCCATCCATCCATCTATCTATAAATGCTCTGTGCATAATGAGTACCTTAAAAACAAAAGAACTAATGAACAAAATCACACCAAATTTGGCAACAAAACATCTCACAACATAAGGAGTGACCATCACTCAAAAAATTATGATTTTATCATTTGGGAGTTGTAGTTGCTGGGATTTATAGTTCACCTACAATCAAAGAGCATTCTGAACTTCATCAACAATGGAATTGAACAAAACTTGGCACACAGAACTCCCAACAGAACTTCCACAGAACTCCTGGAAGGATTTGGTGGGCATTGACCTTGAATTTGGAAGTTGTAGTTTACCTACATCCAGAGAGTACTGTGGACTCAACCAATGATGGATCTGGACCAAACTTGGCACAAGCGCTCAGTACAGAAAATACTTAAGGCCATCCAGTCCAACTAACTTCATCAGGGCAAGAAAAGGTAATCAAAGTCCTCCTGACAAAGAGCCATTCAGCCATAGATGTAGATGTAGATATAGAGATAGATAGATAGATGATAGATAGATGATAGATAGATAGATAGATAGATATTATTCACACACACACATATATAGTATCATATCTCTCTCTGTGTGAATAATATTAAAGAAGGACAATGATATGTTGCATGTTCCAGAGTGGGCAAACCAGACACTCTCCACATCAACACTGACAAAGAAACAGCAAGAAATACTGTTTACCCACAAGCATAAAGAAATTACATATATTAGAAACCGACACTTTCTCATTACTTTCCAGATCAACAGACTGGGCCACAGCAACGTGTGGCAGGGGGCAGCTAGTATTCTAATAAAGAAACTTCATTTATCTTTGATCTTTCAGTGTGGTTGTTGGAGATTTTAATGCTTCCATAAGATACCATGTATAGTCAGTAGTGTACAGTAGAGTTCAATGGTAAACAAAACTATGCAGATCAAGAGTTCTATAAAGCTATAAGCTCTACAAGAAAGATGTGATTCTTTATTATCAGGCATGTTTTATAACATCTCATTGATGAATCATCCCAATTTTTTATTTATAAAAAAGTTCCATGCTGACAAAGGATCGCATTTGGAATAAATTTATATAACCATTACATAACAGTGTGCACTTTGGAACTTTTTCCCTTTTGTGGCCTTTTTGGAATATTCCTGTTGAATCTTGGGAAGGAAATACTATTTTGGTCAGGAACCTCCAGAATCCTCAAGCCAGCATTTCTTATATTCCAAAAGAGTAACTGTTCCAGTCTCTGGTTAAATTCATATTGGTTACATCCTTCAAAAATATGTGTTTTTTTTCCAGAAAGTAATTTGAATACAGAAGAACAAAAAAAGGACAATATTATGTTTTAACCAGACATGAACTCTCTGTGTGGTTATATTATCTTAGTGCTGTTATGGCTGTAGCAGAACCACAGCTTCATGCACTGTTGAGTGATATGGATTTCCACAGGCCACACAAGAAGAATCAATTTTGTGGAGCCTCTGCATGCCAGGCTGGTTCCAGGTTATGAGGTTTTGACACTAGCATAGAGAGAAACTGGGGCACTCTAGTCTCCACTGGCCTACATTTCTTTGTACTCGTAGTGAAGTAAGGACCAGGGTCAAAAAGCTCATATAGCATTGTATATACCTGGCTTCTTTTTGTAGTTGTGTCATGAGAAATATATGACAGCAGTTTCCATTTGACTGGGGGAAGGTTTATAGAGTTGTACTTGCTGTTTTCAGTGGGCTTCCTAATATAATTTTAGTATCAAATTCCAATTATTTGTTTAAAGTACAGAATTGTCCCTATTAGACTTGAAGAGTTGTGAAATGGTGTTAATTTCAAATCCAGCTTTGAAAATTTGTTGGTTATAACCAATAATTTAGGGTCAATTGCTAGAATTACAGTCAAAATACACATAATAGCAAGAGGCTTACATATTCTGCATGGTCTACAGAACTTCTAAAGAGTGGAAAGGGTGATTTTAAGTGGGAAAAGGGAGAGTAGAGAGGTGTGTCAAAGTTTTCCTTAATCTCTGCTTTGAAAAAACATGCATTGTATATATTCACGAATAAGCTGGATTCATGTGCAATCCGAAGATAGGTTTGGAGCCAAAATTATGGATTTTTATGAGACTCCTGGATAAATTGGGAGCCGTTTTGTCAAGAGAGGAGAGCACCATTAATATCTGGGGGGCAGCCCACCCTGCTTCCACTTCTTCCCCCATGAGAAAGCTCATTTTGTTTTGAGTCTGGAGATTTGAAGGTGAATCCTGAGTCTGAAGATTTGAAAGTGAACCCCATTTGTCTACACTTTGGTGCAATGGAAAGCATTCTTAGCCAAATATGCAAACTTAGGATCCAAAAGTGTAGAAAGCAATGCCAGAGCAGGACTTTTCTTCACAAATCCTGAGTGAATACCTAAATAGGGCTACTGCATTTCACATCCACTTTGCAGCTGCTTGAATTGTATCTTGTCTGATGATTCTGCTATCAATTGCTGAGAAAGATCAATCCAGGGCCCTACTTGCTATCCTTCTTTAGGCAAGTGGACTTTTTTTGTAGCAGATGTTTGAAGACTGAATGCTTAGGGAAAAAGAGCCTTTTATAACATTATGTATTTTCTATTTTTGCTGTTAATAATCATGCTTTTAGTTGCTTTTATCTCATAGATATTTTAATCATACTTAAAACTTTTGTATGGGGTAAACTTTTAGTTCTATCTGTTTAAAACATGTGTAACCTCAGTTCTGGACTTCCATTAAACATTTATAATTCACTTTTAGACTGTAGACTTCAAATGACAATATTCTCTTCCTGGATTTCCGTTCATATTCAGTTATTGGAAGTAGACAAGTACTTCAGTTTTAAAACCTATGTTATTGCTATGTAGTTAATGAGAACAATATATTGGCATATAATAACAACAATAATGTTTAATAATATTGCCTATGCTATACTATACCATAACAGTGAATGAAGCATGAAACATAAGAGGCATAGCAGAAATTACTAGTTGTAACAACTCCTACCAATTTGCTTAAAGCATAGTTTAAGATCTTCTTTGATGGCTATAGAAACAAACCAAAAAGTCCATAATTCCTGTCTCATCTTTCGAATGAACTTACTAGGTGACCTCTTTTCTGTCATCCTAAGCCACTCCCAGTCCCCACAATGTGTCCTAGCATAGATAATAATATCGACTTACCTTATAAGATCATTGCAATGGTTGCCACCAGATAATGTATGCAAAGTTTTGAGCATTTCAATGTTCTTTACAGATCTCTCTCATAAAAGATTATTTCTGTTTGAAGAATGTTTCCCTTGCTGAATGATGTCAAATTGTGTTTAAAAGTAGAGCAAGAAATGACACTCCTAAGGTTATATTTGTTTTGTTCTCTCTGTGTTTGTTTACAGCATAAAGAACGTCACTCCAAAAGTAGGAGATGCAGAAACCCGCAAAGCTATTCGCCGTGCCTTTGACGTGTGGCAGAATGTAACCCCTCTGACCTTTGAGGAAGTTCCTTATATTGAACTGGAGAATGGCAAGAGGGACGTGGATATTACTATCATTTTTGCATCAGGTTTTCATGGAGACAGCTCTCCCTTTGATGGAGAAGGAGGATTTTTGGCTCATGCTTACTTTCCTGGACCAGGAATTGGAGGAGATACTCATTTTGATTCAGATGAACCATGGACATTGGGAAACCCTAATCATGATGGTAAGAGTGAAGTTCTGTTGAAACAGCTTCAACAGATTTTTTCTGTTTCATCATGCATGCACCAATCATGAGATAATTCTGTATTGTTGTGTGTCGCTTAAAACTCACAATGGCTGTTTTAGCTTTGACACATGGGCCAGTGCTGGATTTGGGTTATCGGGTACTCTGAACCATCAGTGATGTTGTTGTAGGTTTTTTGGGCTATATGGCCATGTTCTAGAAGCATTCTCTCCTGATGTTTCACCTGCATCTATAGCAAGCATCCTCAGAGGTTGCTTGTCATAGATGCAGGTGAAACGTCAGGAGTGAAGGCTTCTAGAACAAAAACTGGGTGACTTGGAAGGCACTGAACAGACTGTGCTCTGGCACCATGAGATGAAGAGCCAATCTTAAGAAATGGGGATACAAAGTGGAATCCACAACATGCGAGTGTGGAGAAGAGCAAACCACTGACCACCTGCTGCAATGCAACCTGAGCCCTGCTACATGCACAATGGTGTACCTTCTTGCGGCAACACCAGAGGCACTCCAAGTGGCCAGATACTGGTCAAAGGACATTTAATCAACTACCAAGCTGACATGATAAATAAAATAAATTTGCGTTCTCCCAAAGATTCAGACTGGAAGTGCTTTTAAGGTCTACAAGAGCATTTTAATTACTGATTAGTTAAGATGGTTCAAATTACATCTGGTGATTAATTAGATGGATTCATTAATTGTATTAACTTAGTACTTGAAGTTTTGGTGTAAAATTGGTAGTTGTATTTTTAAAACATTTACTGAATGAATTTTAAGGCATAATAATTACCCAGGATGCAGTGAAAGCTTAATAATGTTTGTAAAAGGAAGGAATTGTGTTCTGGTCTGAAATTATATGGCCTTTCAACTAGAAATGGCAAAGAGTGATAATTAGGGCTTTTCAAGAACACAAAATATATTGCAATGTATTGATTAGTTGAGCATGAGGATAGATATTTTTCCTTTTATTTTTTGCCAGGGATCTACCACCCAAAGACTCAGCCTTTTGTTGAACAATGTTTGCATTTAAATGTCTATAACAAGGATTTAATCAAACACTACATAGGTTAAGTGGAGCATGGCAACATGTCTAAATGGTGCAATTTTTTCAGCATGGCAGGCTCAATAAGACAGCAGTTTATTGATTTTAACTATCACAGGAACTAGCAACCCCACTTATGTCAAATGAAATCCTACCCTCTTGACAGCAAAATGAACTTGGCTGCTCATGGTTTACTGTGTACTTAGAGCTTTAAATCTCAGCTTTGCAACAGACAAAGCATTCAGTAATCCAAGGCCTTGAATAACAAGAAAAAATATTATGGAACAGAATTTTAATTAAAGACTAGGAAACATGCAAAGTACCCACTGTAGTGCCATTCCTTTGATCGGCTCACTAACAATGAAATTTACTAATGTTTTCAGAAATTATTTTTTTCTTTATTGAGCTTGGTACTTTAAAGCACCTTTGATCCAAGTCAGACATCCCAAGTAAGTTCAAGGACACACATGACAGCACTGCAGCTGTTATGTTAACGAACATAGTCTACTGCATGTCCAGGTTTTTGAGGAGATAAATAGACAAAGCAATGTTGCATTTTCAAGAAGTAGAGGTAGCTGCCTGTGCCTTTCTGGAGACACGTATCATATTATAGTTGCTGCGGCTGTACTGCAATTGTTTGCCAAGCCCTTCTTACCACGGTTTAATAAGACTGGGCTGCCTGGGAGTGAATCATCTCCTATTTGCACTGTAAGTGAATGTCATGACACTTGGCTATGTGATGTGAGTGCTTGCCCTATTTGATAGCATGTTTGTAAATTTTAAGAATCTAATTGTCTAATTTTACACATCTGTGGTTCCTGTGATATACTTGCCCTGTCAGTACACTGCTGAGGTAACATCATTAGTGTTCTAGCACAATAGCACAAACTGTCAGTAGTCTCTTCAGAAATATTGATTTGCTGGTATGATAAGTTGGGGGTCAGGCATTAATGTCACTTGGAGCACTGTTGAAAATAGTGAAGCTTTGCCACATGGTGGACGGTTGCCCTTAACACCTTGAAATTTTGAATGCTAATGACCATCCCAGTTAAGGCTAAGTATTTAGCATTTTGTTTGTTGTTGTATGCTTCAAGTCATTTCTGACTTATGGTGGACAAAGTTGAATCTGTTGTGGATTTTTTTAGGAGGGGGACAGAATTGCCTTAGAAGAGATTTGCCTTTGCTTTCCTTTGAGGCTGAGAGAGGCTCACTTGCTCAAGGTAATCCAGTGACATCCCATAGCTGAGCAGTGAATCAAACTACTTCGCCATGGTAACAATCTAACTGCAGCTGCAACTGTTTACGTGGCCATTCTGTATTCCCTGGGCTTACATGACCTGGGGACACAGGATGGCACTTACCATCTCCCTCCTGTTCTTGTCGTAGCTGTGGCCATTGGACAAAAAATTGCCTTCTCCCATATTGCTACAGTTCCCCAACCGATGTTTCATGCCTGGTAGATGCCACTGTGGTGGGAACAGGATGTGGATGGTAAGGATGTCCATTCAATGATGCCAGTCTGGATTTGGACCGTTGGATTTCTTCTTGCCTCTGCAACAGCCCGGGAGATGGCAGATAAAGTGTCTGTGTAGAACCACCCTGAGATATTACTGCAATATCAGATTGCATTGAGATCAGTGGAATTTTGTGTGGCATGTTGAGGAGAATACAGTGAAAATGTTCTCTAGGCGGCAACATATACCATTTCTTGTGCTAGAATTTTTTCCTTTGTTTTTTCCTTGCATTATGGTATATGAATTGTTATAGTGGTATTTCTGCCTTTTTTTCCTGCCAGTAAATCTCATGTTTTACTACGTTATCTTCTATTTCTCATTTCTCATGCTCTCGCTCAATTTTCCCAATAGCAAAGCTGCATGATTAAATCTATATACATGTCAGTTTTCTGATTCTGGAATCTAATAGTTATTATCCAATCTTTTGTTTTCTACCCATTGTCTTGTTTCTCCTGATCATGTTTGTGCATTGTGTTTACAGTTCAATATATGAAACAATGTGTTCACACCACCTTCCTCCACTCATCTCATTCAGACTCCAGTTAAGTGTTATCAAGTATAACTGCTTAGTTAATGTGTGACTGTCAAATAACATTTCTAAAAAAAAAAAACCAAACAATCTGGATTAAAACTATATGAAAACAAGTTATAATTTGAACAGAATTTCACACATTCTTAAACAATTGAACAGTCTAGTTAAATCAGTAAAGATATTTCCAAACCCATTTAAAATAGAAGAATATGTAACCACAGTTATGTTTATTTGTTCCATGTGAATCTTGTCTCAGCTTCCCTTCCATTCTATCTTCTCTCTCACTGATGCAATGAATACTGTAAGCTTTCAGGTTGGTTGTTCATTTCAAAGCCTACCTTTTTCGATGTTTTCAACTAATCCAGTGCATATTAATTATATGACTTTCTGAGAGAGCACATTCGCCTAGTGTGCAGATTAAATTATGTCTCATGTCAGCCAACTGTATGTTTTACCCTGATATTGGGTCTAGCAGAGAGGATTTCTGGATTCTTAAAACGTATCAGCTAATTGAAGAGAAAGGAAGGAGATTTTCATATTACATGTACTCCATTTTCTGATTACATGTTTCAGAAGATCTGGGGACTTTCAGGACCAAAGGGAAAGCAATGCAAAAAATTGCAGCAAAAAGGAGGAATGGCTGAAAATTATATATATTCCTTCCATCTGTGGAGCCTCCACTGAGATCTCTTCTATAAATGAAAAAAGTCCTTCCATTCACAGAAGTGATTACCACTGTCACAGCCTGGTGTCATTATTCTGTGACATGACCTGGAATGTTTTGTTTCAACTGAGGTGCTGAAATTAAAATCCACAATGCCTTAGGATTCTGTACTGTCTTAAACTATGAAAAGACACAGTGGTTTAATGAAATTATTTAAAAGTATCAGTCATTCTTTGGAATCAAACATCATTTTTACTCTCCATCCTTTTTTGGTTCATTGTTTCAGCTGTGGTTTGGGTAAAAAAGAATGTAGTCGTTGTATAGTCTGCTATCATTTAACATGTCTGATAAAACAGTGGAGAACTCCAGTGACAGATTGTTTAGAAGCTAAATTGAACAGCAGAGTGTCAAGAGGATTAAGCTGGCTGAGTGATTGTTCTTCCTCTCATGTTCCTCTGGTCTACTGGAGGCTGGGAAAAGGCAACAGCTTGATTATTTAGCAAAAATGCAAATCACCAACCCCTTGAAAAGTACCAGGCTCATTTTCCACACTATAATGCTCTGCTAATGAAGTCAATTTGAATTCTGTGTTTCTCAAAAGAGATGAACAACTTCTTGGAGTGCTCAGTAAAGCCTTAATATATTCTTGTTGCTGTTTTCATAAATCTTGTTGGAATTACTCATGCTTTTAAAGCATTCATATTAATTCCCAAACAACAAGGCCAATAAAGTTTTGTGAGGAAGCAAAACTAAAATTGAAGGGAACAACCAACCTGAAAGTTGTTTTGAGAGATTGGTTTTAGATTGCATTTTATTTTAATAATAACCTAATCTCTTCTCTTTTTTTGGCTCAGTACAAGTAACAATGTAGCAAATGAATTGTCAGGTACCACTTTTATTATATTCTCCTGAGCTAATTTACTAAATCTCATGTCTGCTCAAAACTCAACATGGTCTTCCAAAGCTGTTCCACACAATAAAAAAAACTAACAATTGTTGCAAAAGTCTCAAACTGGATTGCCTCTAGGACTTTAACTGGACTTTGCTTTATATAGTAACAACTTCATCTGCAGAGAGAGTCACCACATTTTCCTGGAACAACAGTATGAGTTTCAACCTGCTAGAACGCTTCTGTTGAAAGGTTAGACAGAATACTGAGAAAATGGACAAATTAATCTTGGTTGTAGAAAATTAACAACTTAATCTTGGTTGTTTAATTGGTGGTTGATG